TTGAAAAACCCTTTGATTTGTCAACATGTATGACTATGAAAATAAAAAGATTTTAAGTCTCAGAAATAATGCATTTTACAACACATCCATTTTCAAGATTTTCATATGTTTATAGATCTACTTGATTTTAACCATTTTTTAAATTTAAAATTTTATAATTAGATATAAAAATAGATTTTGAGATAATCCTAAGAACATTTTACATAAAATATTGACTAAATTGAGATAACCATGTACAATATGGGACATCAGTTGTATGGACTAGACCAGAACTTTTTTTTTTTTTTGGGGCAAATAACTACACTATAACTTCTTAATTGCAAAAACCTGTTTCTCCACTCCCTCTTTGGCTAACATACATCTGTGCGTTCACCTCCCTCAAAAAGTGTTGAAGCTTCAAAATGAAGGCATCACCCATGCCAAACAGTAGGAAGTTTCCATGGACATTAAATTCATCTACATCCCCACAGAATGACAATGTTGGAAGCACCTTTAATTACAATTTTCCACCAAATATAGCAGAAAGCTTGCACCTGCCTTATTAGAGTGAGATCAAGGGGACTGAAAACGTCAAGGCTTTGACACCACCAAACTGCCCAGACTATTCCCAAAAAAATACAATGGGTAATTGCAGAAAAAAAAACTTCCATTGACTGGTAACTAGAACTTAGAAGCCAGGCCTTAAAAAAAAATATTTTAAGTGATCAATTTGAAGTTAAAAGATTCAACCATGGAACTAATTACAAATCTAGGTCTCATAAATTTTGAACATGTTAATTAGGTCAGTCTCAGGGATTGGAACCCAGATAACTAAGTTTCAACAATAGGCGCCCAAATAACCAACAAAGGCTGCCCAAGTTCCCAAAATTTTCCAATGTGTCACCCGTTCATGGATTCTCTAATTTGTAAGATGAACACTATAGGCAGAGCAAACACTAACCTGATGGGACATACAATACCCCTTCCGCATAAAATGGAAGAGCACATCACCATCAAGCAAGTATATCTTCACTAACGACAATTTTTATATGAAAACTTTTACCTAAAATTCACAACTCAACAAAATAAAATAGTGAATCTCCATTATTATTCTAAAGAAGTCACAGAAAATTGAAAACCACTTTATAGCTTATAATGCATATGAAAATATGTAATTAATCCAACACATTTAGTAGCCACCAGAACTGTAATAATACAGTTTACAGGCAATATTGTTGGGCTCACCCAATCGATCCCTTTGGCAAGAAGGCAGATGCACCCAGCAAAACCTAGATTTATGGGACACAGAATATACCAAAACCGATGTGCATGTGTATGAATGAAAATCATGCAATAAAATAAAATAATAACCTACTGACACCGAGATTCACGTGGTTTACTTTTTATACTGCATCTACGAAAAAAAGACACAGATCCATCATTAAAATAATAGTTACAAAGTTCTTCTAAGAAACAAGCTTTTTTGGGCTCTCTATTTTCTTCCATAGAGTTTTATCTCTCTGAGGTTCTTCTCTCTCAAAAGCTTCTTTTCTTTTCTAGAAACTCTCTCTCTTTGAAAACAAAAGGTTCTCTTTCTCTCTCTAACAGGTTTCTCTCTCTCTTCTCTGAGAGAAAAGAGCCACTGTATTTTCTTCTCACTATAATGAAGTTCCAACCAATAAGAATAGCCTTTTGTTAAACCCACCAAGAGAGAAAATGTCAGTGAATGACTAGAGAATTCTACAAACCTCAAATGCCCCCAAAATGACCAAGATATATAGAGTTAAAAAGGATACCAAAGAAAGTAAATTAAGTTGTATATGGAACTTTCCTATTGATGTAACAAAATGAACCTGAAATTCCTTCAATTTTCAAAGATACCACCATAATGCAATTCTAATATGGTGTCCAAAATTCAAGAATTCATGAGAAATGATGGTTTCATTTTAGGACAAAGGTACGAGATTCATGCATTGATCCAAATATAACTCAGCATTGATTCCAAACTTGTTATCATACATACAGCCCATAAATGAAAACAAAGCTGTGCTTCTTCTAAAGATGAAAACTGATCATTCAAAGCTAAGCTCATTTCACAACAATAAGGTCACAGACATTTGGGCATTCAAGTTGCATCCAAAGTGAAGCTAACATTTCAGTAAGCTGATTGGCCATGTTATTAATAGAAATAATAAAAGTTCGATTTTCCAGTGAGATATCCAGTTACACCATATTGCACAGAAACCAGAGAGAGACGAATAGGATTTTTCAACGACAAATTTGTTCATATAATTATGAACTGAAAAAAGTACTTCTAACCATAACAAAACCCCCCAAAAAAAAACTACAAGGACTTAAATATTCGGGATCCTATGCAGCAAAGCCAATGCTCTTAGACTTTTTGATGACAGAGGTACGTTGCATTTCATTGGTAGGAAAAACCTCATGAAATGTCATCAGAGCAATAATCATATCTTCCCTCCCTCTGCGCAATGAGGAAAGGCCCCTCCCTTCCTCCCTCTCTGCACATGGAGAGTGGGGTTGATAGAGAGTGTGGAAAACACGAAGTATCCCTAAGCAAACTAAAAAAAAAGCACGTAAAATTAAAGACTAAAGAAAAAGCATGTAAAATTGAAGAATCAAATCTAGGGCATCTTACTGGGGCTCTCGAACATAAAGGTAACAATGTCGCCTCCATCATCAGCCTTGATGGTGATAATATCATCATTCCCTGCACATTTTAGCATCTTTGACATGTTATTGAGGTTCATGCCCATTGATAAGTTCCTGTCGCACCTGTAATGCTCAAAACCCTCGGATCTGAGCAAAAGGGCCACCAGAGCCACATGACTCGAGTCCATGGCTTGCAGAGAAAAACCAGTAGACGAGCACTCGAAGTTCGCGTCAGTAACAAGGTCTTTAATGGCTTCCATGACCTTCTTCAGAAGGCTTCCCTGAACAAGCCTGAACTCCAACATCTTCGAAAATTTAGGGTTTTTGAAAACCTAGGGCTTGAGAAAAACGAAAAACTATAGGATTTATGCAACTCTAGGGCTTCTGAAAATCTGGGGATTTTAAAGTGCAGAGGCCGGAGGGAGAACAATGTTAAAGAGAAAGAGAAATAGATTTGGAGGGAAAGGGTGGGTTTCTCGTATTTATAAGTAGGGAGATAAAAGGGCGGGAAAACTTAGGGTTTTCGCCATTCATGGCGGGAGGTTCACTTTTGTAGTTTCTTTCGCACGCCATTGCCGAAATCAAGCGAAATTTTAAGATTTCGGCTGTCGAAATGATTTCAAATTTTCAATACTACGGAGGTACCCTTGACGCAGGAAAATACAGAGGAGAAAAAAAAAAGGAAATTATTATTGGAAAATTATGAAAATTACCATACCAATTATTTAGCATTGTATACCTATGTTGTTTGATCTAATTTCCAAATGTTCATAAAAATGATATATGATCTTGTAATAGTAATCTTGGAATAGTATAAAACATGTAACATGCTAAATAATACATGGGAATTTGATAAGCTTCTCTTTGATTAAAATGTGGAAAAAGTTTATATAGAGCCGAGGCTATAAACAATCAAATTAGAGCCCACCTCAAAATTTTCATGGAGTTGTTTTTATGCCCAAATATCATCAAATTGATCATCTCGATATCAAGATGTATGGATATGAGAAAAAAATGAATTTCAAGTTTTAAAAATAGTGCATCTTATAACATAATTTTGTACTGTCAATTTTCCAGATTTTCAAGTTTTCATCGATATGCTCGATCTACACTATTTTTTAAGCTTAAAATTTTTACCTAAAGATAAAATGGTGCAATTGGCATGCAGATGCATTTGTAGTTGTAGAGGTAAGGTGCACCTTCAAATTTTATCATGGTACATAATTTTGATGTAAAATGTTATTAGGATTATCTCAAAATCTATTTTTATATCTAATTATGAATTTTTAAATTTAAAAAATAGTTAAAGTCAAGTAGATCTATAAATATATGAAAATCTTGAAAATGGACGGTGTAGATAATATGTTGTAAAATGCATTATTTCTAAGACTTCAAATCCTTTTTTTTTCATAGTCATACATAACGATGTTGATGTGATCAATCAAAGGGTTTTTCAACATTAAAACTACCTTTTCCGATGGATTATTTTGGGGCATCTGTAGTTCTACATTAGAAGGTAGCATCCTTATATAAACTTTTTAAAAAATAAAAATATATTTTAAAGCTATCACAAAGATTTTCAACATTGAAACTACATTTCTCGATACTATTCGAATGTGTGTTTTACTTTGATTGTTTAGAGCCTCGGCTCTATACAAATCGCACCCTTATAATTTGGGTGTGGTTTGTATAAAGTTGCAAGTTTAAATAATCAAATTAAGGTGCACCTCCAAGTTTTATCATAAATATAATTTTTAGATAAAAATTCTCAAGATGGCTTGAGAATCTATTTTTATCTCTAAATATAAAATCTTAAACTCCAAAAATGGTTCAAATCAAGTAGATCTATAAACAATTGAAAATAGATGGTCTAGATAATTTATTGTATATACAATATTTTTATGACTAAATTTTTTTTTTCTTTTCATAGTTGTAAATCGTGATGTCGAGATAATCAATTAAAGGCTTTTTCAATATCAAAACAATGTTCTATGATGGACTTTTTTAGCTGCACCTTAATTCTACATTTTAAAGTTGCAGTGTAAACTTTTTCGCTTTAATTTTAATAGTTTATCTTCTTAATTATTGTGTATTTTAACATGTATATTGAAATTAAATAAAAATATATTGATAAAATACTAAATAGTGTTGACAAATTTCCTAAACAAAATACAGGGATTATATACTACGCGACCATTTATTTTTGGTACAAAGAGGTCACAAATCGCTTTTGGCCGTTGAATATAAAATTTGATAGATGAAAATGTGTCACAACATTCTAGAATTTTTATTTTGAACTTTGTGCCCAAACAATGACACTTACTCAATTACTCAATTTCAAATCCAACCACTAATGATGATTGTGACCTCTTTATATCAAAAATAAATATTCATTGTACACATTTGTAGCTCTAAAAATGTATGATGAATATGCAAAAAATAAAATAAAATACTTACAAGGTATGCTATTTTTACTTACTAATATTTATTATTTTTTTGCAGCTATGTTATCGAAACTGAAAGTAATAAGTATTGATGTGTCGGCATGATCGGTTTAGGTCTTGCCCGTTTCAACCATAATTGCAATATTGTGTCCATTACTACTGCAAAACAATAAGTACAGTAGTAATGCACCTGATAGGGTTTTGGTGCACACTCTATTCAGGTACAGTCTCCTTTCTAAATCCATCTCAGATGTGGATTTTAGGTTTAGAATTTAACATGTCAATAATAATGCATAAATCGAAACGAAGTGCTAAAAATCTAATTGAAAATTCTGAGAAGAGCTTACACACCAATCTTATCAGGTAATTTCTGATTAAGCCGAGAATCACAAAAGCAATAATATCCAAAACTCTGAGTCCAATGCCAGATTGACCTATACATATAGCTTGAGATACAACTTGGAAAGGCATGCTTGGAACGCGTGTGATAAAACTCCATCATGTGATTAGGCGTGAGAGTTTTTTCATGTAAATTGATCTCAGTGCATAGCACACAATGTAATGAATTTTCATTTGAAATTTGAAAGTAATCTTACACACCAAGGTTCTTAATGACATATAGTCAAGCTAATATTCAGAAAAGCAAGAATATCCAAAATTCTACATCTAAATCCCTCTATTAAAGATTAAGATCATTGCAGCGAGAAAGGGAAAGCGCTTGGGCTATTCAGCAAATAGAGGGTGACGACTTTTAGGACATTCTGCTTGAAAGAAAAAGAAAAAAGAAAACAAAAATATATAGAAATAAGCTATTATTTTAAGAAATTTTAATATATAAGGTGTCTCAAAATTTTGAAGAATAGGGAAATTGGTCAAAATACACCAAAGATATTAACTAATTAATACACCAAAGATATTAACTAATTAATACACCCAAGATTTAATTTCAGAGATATCCATTAAAATACACTTCATTTTGAATTGAAATAGTAGACTAAGTGCAAAATATTGAATAGTTGAAAAATTGGTGTCTTTTGACAAATTCCCTATTCAAATGTCAGAAGTACTCGTGTCTTTATCATTTAAAAGTAGTTTACCAAATGTTGTATGCATTGGGGGTACATCTGTGATAATTTTAAATTTCTTTCAACTCAACAGGAGAGTTATTTCACAATTTTATATACATTGTGGTAACCCCAAATTTTGTATACATTGGGGATACATCTGTGATAATTTTACATTTCTTTCAACTCAACAGGAGAGTTATTTTACAATTTTATATACGTTGTAGCAACTCCATACCTAGTTATCATATTGTGGTTTCCAATCCATTTACTGACACATAAAAAAAGCTAATTACTTAATCTACTTAAAAAAAAAAAAACGGTAGGGACCTGTCTTCCTCACTGAATTATCCAATATAAAAAATAAAAAAAATACTAGAGCCCAAGACTTGCTCTTCAGCTGAAGTGAAGCAAATCTAATGGCACTGTCTGGTACATGGAGCAGCCATTCATAGTCTGTCATCATCAATGAACAATAGATGAGTTGAGGAAACTGATGGTCAGTTGAATTTTTAATGTGAGCTTAGCGGTCATAACCAGGTGACTATGAATCTACCGAATGGACCATAAGGGTTAGGTCTGCATTCAGCCCTGACTTAACCAGGTCCATTAAATAATAATATTTCCATGAATTCATTAATTAATTCAATCTAGACTCGAACCAGATCCATTAAGACCCCTACTAGTACCATATCAGTCATAGATAATCATGAAGGTGGATGGCCTGCGTTTTTGCCCCATACCTACTATTTTGCAGAAATTCCTCGCCTGCCTCAGACCATGCAAGTAGTTATCCTAAAATGCATCATCACCCACCATAAAATGTTAATTTTCTTTCCCAAAGCATATCCTCAAGGCTAAATGGTCAGGAAGGCAAGGCACCACAACATAATAACTTGAGTTCTAGTCCTACCGTGCTACCGTGAATAGGGAACCCTTTCCCCACTGAACTACCCTAAGAAAAAAGAGAGACCTATTGAGAAGACCTCAGTAAATTCACATACTCTGGGCTCGGTATCTTTCCATAATTTGAAAGAGCCACATTTTGCATGAGGTTAACTTGTAAGAGCCCTCTAATTTAAGTAAGTTCAAAAGTTAGATAATCATATGTTAACATGTTAAAAAAGCAAAATAACAATCAACGTCAGCAAATTGGAATATGAAATTCCGAACTGTATATTGAAGACTCATAAATATGTATAAAAGCGAAGTTTCAAAACTTCTAATTACATTTTTTTTACATACAAAATTTACCACACTTTCAATGTGGTAGGCCTTCAACTCGCGGAAAATTAATGCCACAAGAACCTTGCATTGGACTGTGACTAGAATAGAAAGTCAATTGAGCTGTAGTCCCCCATTCTCTTAGGCAGATCACCATCCTCCCCCTCAACATCTGTCAGATCACACAAATCAGAAGCATTCAATGGTGAGGTATCACGACTCTCTCTCTCTCTCTCTCAATC